TGTTTCATCTTCATCCAATTTTTCAGGTGCAATATTTAATCTTCTCATGTGACATTACTTTTTCCCTCAGCATAACTTTTATAACTTTTCTGCTCTATAGTCTTATTTCATCTTTCTTACTTCACTAATGTATCATACTTTCATTTTATTGCTTTTCTACTTTTTAGGCTTCTTATGTCACTTTTATTTTTCTCTGAGCAACATCAGGCACAAGAATTTCCTTTAGGCGAAATAAAGTTGAATCTTATCTTATTAATGAAGAGGTTGAATGTGATGACCAGTAAACATTACTAGAGGACCCTCAGTGGAGGAGTACAGCTTCCCCTGCCGGCCAGTATGGCACTGAGCCCCAGTAAACCATTGTTCCTTCCAACTTACCACAAAATAGGTGTTTTTAATCATTGTTGGCTGGTTGTCCAGGATGCAATGGGTGCTATCCATGTAAACATTGTACATTATTCAAACTATAACAGCGATAGCAAAATGTTTTGACTTTTAAATATCACCCAAGGTTGAATCTCAGCTCCCCAGTAGAAGCCTATGAATAGTTTCTGATCCAAACGATGTGTCCGTCTTGCACTGTTTTCAAGTTACAGCGCAGTCAAAAGTTATGACCTTGACTTTGACCTTAAAACATCATCCAAGGTCCAATGTGACATGACCAACACGACCAACATGGCCGCTCATCTGCACCAAACACCAAAGATCTGCCTCCCAGGGTTCTGGAGCTGTAAGGCGTTTTTAAAAACGTGACCTTTGACCTCTAGCAGAGTTACTGTTGCACTGATTGACCCCAAAACCTGATCATTCCCAGTAGATGCCATGACCAGCTCACCTGTATAATAAATACAGGTGAGTTGTTATCTCTCCTCCTCCTCCTCAGAGGCAACTAGAACACAATAAACATAATAAAAGCATATTTCAGTCCAACCACCCACGCACCGTGAATACAGATCCGTGGGTGTTTCAGGGACCTTGTGGCCCCTCAGGCCGTGTTTTGGCTCCACATGAGCCGCAGACGGAGGCCGCAGCGCCCCCTGCCGGCTGCTCTGTCACCGCCGGGGGAGGAGCCGCACCGTCCGCTTTATAAAACCGCCTCGACCCCCGAAACAAAAACAGTCCCGACAGACAGCCAGACAGACAGACAGACAGGCAGGCAGGCAGACAGCTGCTGACAGCGGACGCCAGGACGCCGTAACCTCGCCGTGTTGCACCGGGACGCAGCGCCGTTTGTTGACGTCGGTCACCGGAGAGCAGAACGCAGCGGAGGAGGGTCGCAGCCGCTGGAGCTCCACTGCGACGCATCTGCGCAGCGAACTCGAGAGGCTACAAAACAAAACAAACAAACAAATAATTAAAAAAAAAAACAAAACATCGCAACATCGGCGTCTCCAAAATGCCGTTTTCCGTTAACGGCATCCTTTGCACGCTCGCGCTGCTGGTCCTGTGGCGCGCGGAGGAGCTCGCGGAGGCGTGCAGCTGCGCTCCGGTTCATCCGCAACAGGCTTTCTGCAACGCCGACGTAGGTGAGTACAGCACCGGGGGGACTGTTGTTGTTGTTGTTGTTGTTGTTGTTGTTGTTGCTGCAGCTGCAGTTGTTGTTGTTTACGCGGCCCGGGGTTGCACCAGGGCCACAGCGGCGCCCTGCAGCAGCTCTGGCCGCCTCTGGGGCGTGTTGAATGGGCGCACAGGAGCTGCTGACACCGCTGGAAAGCCTGGAGGTGGTGGTGGAGCTCCTCAAGGCCATGGCCCAGACAGCTCGCACTGCGTTCACGCTGCACACTTGTCATGTATTTTTTTTTTGCTTTGTCATGTTACCTCTGAAATAGCATCTGTGAAGCAGAATATCCTCCTTTATTCATTCTATCATCACAACAAGGAGCTAGAAGTGCATCTGAGCCACTCATCCATGAACTTTGTGGTATTGATCTGCTCTGGTTTCAGTGCTATCACTCAGCTCCTCCGTAGCAGGACTCTGGCTGTGTTTGCTCTGTGAGGCTGACTCACACTGGAAGCAGTCTGGCCTCATCCATGAACATAATGTCTCGAGCAGAGTGTGTTTACCAGCAGGTCTCACCCTCGGCAGCGTCGCCGGGCCTCCGCAGGGCAACGTGGCACCAGAGAGGGAAGAGAGGGAGCAGAGAGGAGGACAAGGGATGGAGAAAGTGAAGAGAAATTTATGGAGGAGGAGGAGGAGGGGGATTGAATCTCAACCACAGAATATGTCACACAGCGAAGCTTTCCTCCCTCTTCTTCTTTCTTTTTTTTTTATTTTTTTATTTCCATTCCTGTCCAGTTTGCGCGGGGTGGTGCTGTGAGGAATTACAGGAATGTTTCTGGGGTTTTCCCAACTTTGCTCCAGTGCAGCGCAGGGACACACACTCGTGCACTTTCAAATAGACAACTGTGAAGGCCACGCGTGGCGGTGGACTCACACACATCTGACATCTGGCTGTCAGTTCAGGGTGTGTTTTTTAGGGGGGAAAAAAAGGCAATAAAAGTCACAGTGCAAGTTAAAATATGCATGGTATCCTGGAGAAAGTTGGACACCACACTGCTGCGCCTCCATCTTTCCCTCGGTGCTTCTCGCCAGGCCGAGATGCAAAATGACAGCTCTATTTCCAGGTGTGACTCAATCTCTCGCTGAGCTGGCAGGTCTTAGAGACAGGATGTCTCAGAGGAGAGGTGTGTTTTTTAAAGGGCGTGTGAGTCAGTGAAGCTCTCACAGACACGCGAGGATGCACACTAATGGCCATGCAGACCGCTAAATTGGCAACAATGCTCGATGTCATTGTCCTGCCATGATTTCAGGGCGGATCTGAGGACCAAAGCCACATCTGAGAAGCCCGATCTGCTGAGAGAAACACCCAGATAAGACGCCGCAGAGGAGGAGGAGGAGGGGAAGAAAGGGAATAAGACTGAGGGTTCAAATGGGGTTTTGCAGAGAGCGGAGTCACAATAGACTTGGCTCAAATGTGCACGCAGGCAACAACAAAGTGACATTGTGGAGAGTTATGCGGTCTGACAATCGGGATTTGTTTTGGTGGGACACGATCCCACGCTGTTACACTCTACAGCCAGTGTGTGTGTGTGTGCGCATACATGTGTGTCACCTTCTGTTTTTCATGCAAAGTGATGCTCGAGGTCCAGACCACAAGCCACAAAAATCGCGCAGCGTCATGCACCTTCCACACGATCGCACACGCAACGTACATGTACGGAGACAAACATCCTCTTTCTTCATATAAATCTGCCGCCCACAGAGGGGAACTTCCCCGCAGCCCAGCCCAGCCAGACTGTCCCCGGGCTGGTCGGCGGTCGGGAAGACCAGCGTCACCGCGTCGGCTGCAGAAAGGCAGCAGTGGACACGAGTGGACAATGTAGGCGTCTCCGTTTGTGGGGAAAACAGACGTGTTTTCTTCATGAAGTGTGCTCAACACGCATCACGGGAAAACTGGTGTCTCTGAAGTTTCAAACCCTTTGATGCAAAAATGTGGCTCTGCCTTGGAGGATACTTGAAAGAACCCAGTGTTGATTTAAGAGCGTCAGATGGCTTCATGTCAGCCAGTGTACGTGTTTAAACCGTGTGTACATCTACATTTTGTCACGAATATGGTTTCTAGTGATCTGTACTGAAGCTAAATGTTTTTATTGATCACAAAAGCTGCACTTTTTAGTAATTTTTTGTAAACTTTGATGATAGTTTTAGCGTCTCTCAGTTCACTGTTTAGTTATGATTCAGTCTTGCCGCTCTTATTAGTGTATTTTACAGTTTTATTTGACAGTAATCAACAAGCTTGCTAAACATTTAGCAGCTGAAGACGCAGATATTTGCCTCAGGAGTTGGTGGAGACCAAAAACGGAGCTAAAAGCAGAGTTAGATTGGATAAAACGGACGAATGGTGCTTTGTAGTTTGCTGACATGTTCAGGTGATAACATATCAGTGGTTTTTACAGTTTATTCTGCTGCTGCCAAGTGGCCAAAAAATCAGTTAACGCTGCTTTAAATATTATGTTACTGAGACATTTGGCTGATCGCTTGATCAAAACATCTTTGATGCCAAATTGCATCTCGTTTCAGCTTCTCAGATGTGAGGACTGATTATCCATCCGGCTCATTATCAGCTCTAGTTTTTTATATGTGATTACCGATAAAATAAATGAATTTAAATAGACGTCACTCAATCCAGAAGGATAAATATTAAAGTTTTCTTTAGCTGAAAACACATTAAACACACTTAAAGAAATGCAGATGAGTATAATGTTATGTTGGAGGTTGTGTTAAGTTTTCGAGCCAGGATTTTTATTTTTACTGCAAGTCAGTTTAAAATATCGGTCATCCGTCTCGTTGATTACAAATAATGAGCTTTATTGGCTCTAAAGAAATGCGTCCGTCAATACTAGTTTACTGCTGTTCCCTGTTTTATATGAATGCACACTGAAAAATGTTTGTGTTGGATAAAAGTAGACATTTAAAGATTTGATTGTAAAGTCAATATTGCACATAAACACCTCGCCGTCCTGTTAACCCAAGATAACCTTTATTGATTGTTCGCTGGGGAAATAAATCCTCTACTTTCTTAGGCTGAAGCTGGGTGACTTAAAAAAATAACTCTCAGCACGAACAGTGCAAAAGATATCAGCTTGAAAACAGATCAAATTTAATCTCGGTAGCTGGAGACTGCGTTCTGCTCTGTGTCCTGCCATTAAACACACACACCCCTTATGAAGCCAATCACTTTAGCCGCAGTCTCATAATGTCATTGTATTAAAAATAGCTCCTACATCGACCTTGGGCTCTCTGAGATTTAAAGGGCCTCTTATAGCCCAAACATATGATCTGTAGTTTTAGAAATTCATCTGATTCATGGCTCAGATTTTGGGAGGCGACACTCGTGACTTTGAGCGGTAGAAACAGAAATCGATGCATTTTAGTTTATGAGCATTTGATGAACATGAATGTTGATTATACTCGAGTACATGAAACTCCAATCATCAAAACTGCTTTAACAATTAAACTGCATGTTATATTCTCAGTTGTAATCATTTCATTGCTGCCGATTTTGCCTGAAATCTCCCAAAGCTATGCCGGGAAACTCAAAATAATGCAGCTAAATCACAAATAACTTGGAATTAAGAAGTCAAATGAACACGTTTGCTTCAAAACCCCACACAGCCACCGCTGATTGATGATCCCACCCGAGCTGCTGACATATTGATCCGACTCTCGCCACCTTCGTCGGTGTCGTTGCGTCTAAATCCGTCTGCCTCACGCTGACAGCGGTGCGGCTCCGGTAACTGAATCCCAAAGACCTCACGGAGAAAAACCAGAGCTCTCAGATCTTCATACAGATGTTGCCAGAGGTCATGAGCGGCGGCTGAATTGTGTTTGAGGGCGGTTCGTCTCTGCTGAAATGACAGGTTAAACAGAAGGCCCACATACGTCTGGAGCTGAAAAAAAAAAACCACACCAGGAAAGTCAGGGATGATTTGGTGGTCGCTGGAGTATGAAAAAAGAAATGGATAGTCATGCGGTGGAATGAATGGGGGGCACTTAGGATGTGGTGTGTGTGCGTTCATACGGGGTTTGCATGGAAAACATTGCGTAGTGCAACTGATACGCATGTATAAGTCATTAAGCGTCGTCCCGGTTCGGGAGGGTAGCTGAGCAGCCGAAATGTGGGTCAGCCGGTGGTTTATGGAGGGGGCTCCTGGCTGCTGATTGACTGCTGCTGATCGGATGACTCGGGGATCAAACTGCGGTGAGGCTCGGCCGCCTGCAGGCCCCCGGTAGTCGTGCTGTTTTAGCGTCACGCTGTGCAGTCTGCCGCCTCCGCGACACGCTGTTTAGACTGCACAGGATGAGCCGCTCTGGCTTTATTGTGGAGGGGGGGGTGGAGGTAAACAGCGGTGAGGTAGACAGATAAGCTCCCACAACAGCAATCCATTGTGAATAACAGGGCAATTTCCCCTCAGTATTGTGTCCTGCTGCTGATTCTTTGCTCATTAGTTTGTGGCGCAGAATGAGGTCAGGAAATGAGAGCGGAAAAACTTGCAGGAATGCAGGAGAGAGCGCCAGCCAGGTATACTGCTGTGTGTGTGTGTTTGTGTGGACTCTGGCTGCCGCTGCCGCTGCACATTTGCATAAACATCGACCGAAATGTACGAGTTTGCCTGTGAGAAAGTTTGGATTCTCTGAAGGACTGATAAATGACTTTCTAAGCCGTATATCAGGGCTGATAGCAGGTTCCAAGGCTGCTCCGAGCTAATAAAAAACAGATTTGTTCGCCACTGAGTCAACAAAATCTATTATTAAACCTTTTTATCTGCTCCTTCTCTTTGAATAGCAATGAGTCAAACATGGAGGCAGTCATTTATCTAGATTGCATACATCTAATCTGTCTGACGAAACCTGTTTTCAAATCGTGACCTTTAAGTTTTCTCACTTAACCCTCTGAACTCCAACACTTTCTGTCACAGCACCATAAACTCCCGCACCTCCATGGAAACAGCACAGACATGGCTACGATTAGAAAGAACTCAGAAGTGTCTATGAAAAAGTTTTAATCATACGTTCAGCAGTTTTCCAAGTGCCCACAGGTGTTCTCAGTCGTGGAAACAAAGCGTGGCGACGACTGTTTTTATGGTTTCTGGACTTTCCACTATCTGCTCGGGGGAAGCACAGCCTGCAGTTCAGCTGAAAGAGTCTGTAAATCGCTGCTGAGTCACTAATGGCTTCACGGTTACGCTGATGACTGCAGAATCTTATATCATTTCCAGTTATGCCGAAAAAACAAACGGTACCCACAACAAAAGTGTTAACAGCTGTTAGCAGAACCTGAGAGTGGACCAAAAGTCTGGCCTTTGTATACAGACGGGAGATGTTGTAAGAAGGTCTCTCTAGGAAGGCATTCATACAGCTGCATTTGCCTTTTCACACACACAAAATTGCAGAAATAATCAGCCTCCTAAATGTAGCTGGAATTGGCTTTTCATCTCTTTGTTTTTAGCTCTGCTTTGGGTCTCCACCAGCTTGCTAATTTTGTGTGTCTGAGTAGCCTTTAGTGGAGTTTTCTGCTAAAACTTTCACAAATGAGAGTGAACTGGACCTTCACTGATATGTTGGTCAGCTGATGTTGGCTCACATTGTTTTGGAGCATGTTGTCTGACGCCACTGTTACGATCCAGCCTCTTAGGTCAACTGGACGTAACAAAATAAACCAGATGGAAATGGTTCAGGCAAAGCAATTTATTGTTTAGCAGCGTAAATGAACATAACAGAACTGTGACACTACAAAAGAGGGTGGATGCTGCTAAAAATCGAACGAGCCAAACGAAGGCTATCGGAGTGACGACTGCTAGGTAACAGAAAGCAAAACTAAACTCCTTAGCCACGATTAAATCAGAAAGCAACATCCACACATAACAAAAGAAACTAAAGCAAACTAGTGCCTCAAAACACACAATACGAAAAACACAAATCACAAGTAGCTTCTTCAAAAAGTTGCGTACCAGAGCGGTACCTCTCTGAAAGGTTGCTGGTTGGTTTTATAGCCAGGTGTGGTGATTGCTGAGGTGGAGGAGGAGTGGTGGTGGTCCAACCAGCTGTAAGTGGAGGCTGAGAGTAGGTCGGGAGCTCCAGGGCAATCATCTCTGATGTCTGACAGGTGTGGTTCTGGAGCATCATCTCCAGCTGGGCCTACACAGGCCATCTTCCCGCACAATGATCACAAGTCCACCACATGTGACGGCAGAATCACCACGGGCCGTAACAGCCACCATGATTTTTTATGAAACAGAAACACGAATGCTCAGAAAGATAATTGGGATAATCTAGAAATGGTCTCGTCACCTGGTTGCCCAGCAGAGCAGCTCCTACTCTGTTGTTTGCACCTCTCAGAACTGACTGCAGCACATGTAGCAGAGCCGGTGGTGCAGAGTCGAGCGGTGTCTTCACGATAAATCACCAGTCAGTGATCCCAACCGACTGTTGGTTGGGATCTAAACCAAAACCTTTAAGTTGTGGGTCATAAGATGCAAAAACAAACAAACAAACAAAAAAAGATAGAAGATGCTAAAACACAATCAGCTGAGAATACACAGTCGGGTTTATAATCATTTGTCAGCATGAAAATCCTGATTAAAGCAGCTCATTCGAGATGAGGAGTTTTAATTAACACGACCTTCACTAACAGCATTAAAAATTTATATTTTTTATAAATAAAAACTTCGCCCACAGGCCAAAACGAGAGATCCAGTGTTGTTATGCGAAGAAATGTTGTTTATTCAAAGACTGTTTACGTTATTCTGGTTGTCATTCGATAAATGAACTGATTATGAGACTAGAAATAATACTGATAGTTGAAATATTGACTTAAGCTACTAAAATCTGAGCCACTGCTGTTCGATGTTGGTGTAAAATACATATCTTACGGGTTTGGATGTTTAAAGAGGTCACCTTGGACGCTTTTTTTCATGTTTTTGGTTTGTTTACAGGCTAAACGGGGGATCAGTAATAGTTATTCTCGCTGTTACGTGTGCAGAAAAGCATTCGTCTTGCATCAGCAGGAAAAGTGAAAAAAGGGAAAAGGGAAGTAGAGACGTTATTAACTCTGGGAGCCATGAACCCCCATATTTGTGTCTGCTCCAAGCCATAAACTGAACCCAAGGGTGTAAGAGCAACAGCGGTCGACTGTATGTGTGTTTATCTATGTGTACGTGTCCTCTGTTCCTGCTTATTTTATGTTTTTTTCCCCCCTTCTGTTGCTCATATTTTCCATTCTGAATAAATGCCCTGAGCATAGCTGGAGCTTGAAGTCAGTCGTTAAAACGCACACAGACACGGTGAGAAACGAGCCCCTGGCCAAGTCTTTTCTCCGTAGATCAGCTTTCAGGTTGTATTCTGAATCCCTAATTCTCGTCCTGCGATGGTTTCCTACTCGTGTTTTGAAGGTTTGCGCTGCAGGCCAAACGGTGGAAACCTCTGCTTGGGGTTTCATTGACTGGACTGTCGGCGCTGCAGCTCGTCCTGCTGCGATACGCGGCCGAGACTTCGGTCGGCTTGTTTGGACTCTTTTGTTCGCTTGAGGTGCGACGAGGTGATGATTCAGCGTAACTGTTTATCGAGAATCACGTCGCTATAAACAAGGCGTTGATTGAGGCTTACGTATGACAGTTTGGTACAATGAATGTGCTGCCCGCAGAATTTAACCCTCTGGACCCTGAAGCGGTTTATGTTTGCTCCTGTTTCTGCTCATCGTGGGCTCATCTGTCACTGCCATGTAAAGTCCAGCATCTTTATGGAAACAGCACGAGCACACAGATGGAGTAAAAACACAAGTTATAATGCTATAAATCACAAAAACAGAAAGTTTATTAGATTATTCATGACACAAAAATTGGAACAACTGACATGTACAACAGTTTTCAAAGTGTTCACGTGTGTTGGCTGTAAACAATCCTGACTCTACATACTGTAGATATTTTACTCCGTACATTCTTTTTTTTTTTTCCATACGTACCTGTTCTTCTCTGCTTGGTGTAAACACAGCCTGCAGTTCAACCGAGTTCAGACTGCGTCACTGATGTGGTGCCAGCCCTTTATTTTTGGCTCATTTTAATAATTAAAGCACGAAATACAGTATACAATATTACCAATTTAAGTTTTCCAATAGAGCGGCACATCACAGATGGTTAGTTCAAGGACCATCAGAAAGTTGACAAGTCAGTGATTCTGGTTTTGATAAATGGTGTGAGTTTGGTCTTTTTTAAAAATCTGTTTATTTGTTGTTTTTGCTGTTTTTGAACCTGCTGGAAGGTTTTATGGGTTCAGAGGATTAATTTGCTAAATAATCAGGAAGTATTTTCTGATAGTCGAGTCATTTTTAACCAACATGGCTGATCGATGCTTTCCTCGGTTTCATATCCCTGAAAACTGAAAATCTTTGATCGCCTCAGGGCATCGTCATAGAATTTGTGTTTCACTGTTATGTAATGATTTATAGACTAAACCATTCATTGATTTATAAGGAAACAAATCAGGACATTAACCAACAATGAAATAAATAAAAATGTATTTTTTTAATGTTTATTGTTTAAATCAACTTATGTCTCTTGATCATTGGTTTGATTTGCACAAAATATAGAATAGAATAAAACTTTATTGATCCCTTTGGTGCAAACCTCAAGGGAATTGTTGTACTAGAAAAACAACACAACACCAACACAACATCAGCAACAACAGTAACAACAACAACAACAACTAAATAATATCGGTCCTTTGACGCAGTCGTCAGTCATTTGATTGAACTGGAGGTTTTTTAACTTACAGATTGGATCAAATTGTGAGTCCTGGAACTCTTTGGATGTGATTAATGACCGGGTGGTTTTACAGGGCAACTCTTTTGCAGCCAAGAAACAGACAATTATATTGTGCAGTTAAACAAACAAAAAACCTGAATGGAGACACAGCTTCACACTTCTTTATCGATATTTTAACTCCAGGTCATTTATTGGTGGTTTTATGCGTTTGTGTTCACAGTATCAACCTTTTGTCCATGAAGATGGTTTTTTGCGGCTTCTTTCCGTCTTTTTTTGTTTGCTGGGATCATATGACTAAATATGATCTGAGAAGAGCTGCGGTGTCATTTTTCAAGCAGATATCCTGTTAAAAGTGTTGTTTTAAGCCTCTCAAATATGAAGAATTATTGCTGTTTGTGATTCATATTGTTAGAAATCCATTTTTTAAATTTGCATCTCTTGGTCAGGAAGAAAACAAGATGTGAAAATGTAATAATTTTATTGTTTTCTGACGTTTTGCAGGCTTTAAATCTAAGATAATAATGATGAAAGTCTTTATTTGCTGAACTCTTGGATCTGACGCCATGTTTCTATGTTTCAGTGATTCGAGCGAAGGTGGTGGGAGAGCGAGAGGTGGATTCTGGGAACGATATCTACGGAAACCCCATCAAGAGGATCCAGTATGAGATCAAACAGATCAAGGTGAGAACGTCTTCCAGATGCCTCCGAGCGTTTCAGTTCAAAGCCTTTGTTTGTTTGATGATGTTAATTCTTTGGTTCTGATCTCTGACACCCGCCTACTCGTGTGGTTTTGTTCCAGATGTTCAAGGGTCCCAACCAGGACATCGAGGCCGTCTTCACAGCTCCCGTCTCCGCCGTCTGTGGCGTAACTCTGGACGCCACCGGCAAGAAGGAGTACTTGATCTCAGGTTTGTGTGACAAATGAGATTTTTTTTTTTTTTTTGAGCGAGCGACTCATCGGTCAGCTGATCCAAACATGTGACACATCAGTGAGTACAAAGCTGGAGCCAGGGGGCAGTTGTATAAGAATTACTTCCCCTAAGCTCTGGAGAAGTTTTCAAGTTGAACTCCTAGATTGTAGATTAAGACATGCCACAGTTACCTGAGTCAGAAAAACAGAGAGAATTCTCTGATTTAGAGCTTCCAGGCCGCCTTTAGGGCACCGTGACGAGCCATTTGGTCGCAAACTTGACTAAATCTAAGCTTAAAATTCATTTTATTCTACGTGTTTCATAAAAAATGTAATATTTTGCTTTAACTAGATCCTGTGAAAACTAAAAATTCTTAACTCTGGGGTTCAGAAGGTCACATTTTACCTGTCCAATAATTATGTTAATATTTTATGAAGCAAAAGAGAGCACTTGAAGCTTTTTTTTTCTGTTTTATGCCTATTTATATAGTATTGGAATACCAAAGCTGCACACGTCTAAACAAAGAACTGACTCCAAGTGTTTCTGGATGGATTCTGGTCAACCTCTGACTTTAACTGAAGCGTTAAAGTTGAATTTCAGTGTCTTTTATTATGTTGTTCCTCCCTCTTTATCGCTCCAGACGCTCCCTGATTCCTAAAGAATCTAAAATAATCACGAGAGTAATAAAGAAGGAAAGTATTTATTGAAGCTCTGAGAGGAAAAACAGCTTTTAGCGGCTTTAGCAAGAATCTGTTTCGAATTACCTTCAGATGTAATCGATATGATCACAGTCTGATGTTGACTAAGAAGGACGAGGCTGTAAATTTAAAATGCATGTTTTTAAGGCCTCATCAGCTCAACTCCAAACACAGCTACTGTCCAAGTATGACGCCTTTGATTTGAGTTTTGGGGAAGTTTTTTGGGGAAGTTTTTTTGGAAAGATAAACTGTGAATCAACACAGACTGGAAAGCGAACAAACACGACGACAGACAGACAGACGGAGAGACAGAAAAGCAACAGGAATTCACAAACAGATGATCAGATAGAACCTGCAGGTGTAAACAGCCGGGCAGACAAACATGAAATCGGATGAAGGCTGGCGGGCAATTTTGCACATCGGAGGAGTCGCTGTTTATGTTATTATGTGTAATGATACGCTGCTGAATAAACCCTGTGGAGACGGGGCAGGGTTCAGTCTGTCGAGGTGCAGCTACAGCTCCTGCGACTGTTTACACCTGCAGAGCCGCGTCACTTTTCAACATTTGTAAACTTAGAAGCCGCTGTAATTTTGATATTAAAAAATGCGTCACCTTAACGAGGCCGCTGGAAGTGACGCGGCAAAAGAAAATGATCACCTGCGGCTGTACCAGTGTCAGCCCCCTTGTTTACCCGTCTGGCCGCAGGTTTACTGGTTTGTTTCGGTCGTCATTTCCAGCCACAGCAGGCGGCGGTTTTTAGAGCAAAAGCACTAAAAGAAAAAATCCCCCAATGTACTTTACCTGCTCAGCATCAAATGTCTGACAAACACTGAGTGTAGTGGAACATTCAGGAGCCAGATGTTTCCTCCAGGAGGTGGTGGAGACCCAACATGGAGCTAAAAGAAGGCAAATATTGGGCTGGTGTTTATAAAGTGTTTAAAAAACAAAAACAAGGAAAAGGAAATAAATTATAGTGTTGTGAACAAAGTTTTTTACAGTTTCAGTGAGGTTTGTTGTTGGGTTACATTCCAATAAGTTGCTCTAAAGTTACCAAAACATATGATAAACGGGCAAATATCTTGTTTATGATGCACAGATTGAATTAGTGTAGAGTGAGAAACAAAAGTCGTTTTCTTCTTCTCCAGCCTTCAGATGATTCTAATTATCAAGGTGCTTTATTTCAAAACTGATTTGTCTCACGGTTTGAGATGCTTTATCCTGATTATCTTCAATAAATAAAACCGATTCAACAGTAAGAAGATCTTTAAAGACCCCCTTTAGCTTGTTAGCATGGCCACACGGTGTTTTCTTTATATCCTGGAACTATGAGTGAAACAAGCATGTCTGAGCGTTTCCTCTTTGAAACTGATGAATCTAAATATGTAACCTTGACACACAGAGATGAGCTTTTAGGGGTTTAATCAGTGACCGCAGGTGGAACTTAATATGCTGGTGTTGTTTTTACAGCGTGTTTAAACTGCCTCCAATAGTTTCACGTTTACAGCAAAAGTTCAACACTTGGGGAAAGTTACTTATTCGCTTTCTTGCCAAGAGTTTGACGAAAGATTAATATAAAGACTTTGGGGGGAGGAGGGAGAGCAAGCTCGGGTTTATTCAGAGACAGAAAGATCTCTAATTGGCAAACTAATTATCATTTTATGTGTTTAATTAGTTTTTTTTTCTGCTTGCTGGAGCATTTATTGTGCCCGAACAGTTTCAGCTTTGTTCACAACCTTTTCATTAGCCTTCTGGAACCTGCTGGAGTCTCTGGATGGTTTGTGCTCCTGCCACAGTTCTCACCTCGTTTTTCACGGCAGTATAAAGTCCTACACCTCTGGATAAACGGCGCTACCACGACTACAAGCAGAGAGAACTCGCAAATTTAAAGTTTTACGACTTACGATTAGTTTTAATGCGTGCCTCCTGTTTGCGCCACACGGCCTGCAGTTCAGCCAAAAAAAGTTCCTGAATATTTGTCACGTGACTGTTGGTCGCAGCCGAGTCACTCATGGCTTCACGGTTGCACAGGGGAGCGGAAAATTTTTTGATTTTTACGGATTATTATTAGTGTAAACGGTCTAGTTTTGGTGAATTTTTAAATGAGACACGTAGAATTAAACCAATTTGCTGATGGAACGTCACACGAGTTGAAAATCTGCTAATTCCCTCGATTTTTACAATTCTTTGCTGTAATTTTGGCAGCTTTTAAAGACAGCATGTCTTTCCAACCTGGTGGTTTTGGGGATCAGAGGGTTAAAGAGCTTTAAACGTGCCAGTAGTTGTTTTGTTAGCATCGGACAGAGTGATGCTAAGCTAACTGTGGCTGCAGGCTTTATTCACACCTCACACAGCTCGATACCACAGATGGATTTCTTTCCTCCTTTCATGTTTGCGCTTTAAATCTGTCTGCTGTTGTGATTTTAAAGCAGCATCAGACTCAGCCGAGGCGACGCTGAGGATGATGATGTCATTCCTGCTCTGGTTTCTCCATCACAGACGGAGATGCACCCGCAAACACTCGGCCTTAATTACATAGAGTTGTAAGAGGAGGAACTGCTGAAGCCAGCGTTTCCTCTCTCTTAGACTTTTTTTTTTCCCCCCAAGATGTTGGACGTGAGCTGTGGGAAAGAGAGCTAAGTTTCTGCCGAGCGGAGCATCTTTCGCGGTGATTCATCCTCTCCTCGGTCCGAAGGGTTAACAGCCGGCTGAGTCGCGGCGAAATGTGAGTCAGTCGGCGTCTGCGAGGACGCGCTGAAAAATACTCGAACATGTCGGGAGCTGCTCCGCAGACAGATAGCGGCGAAGGCGGGGAGGACGCAGAGCCGCACACTCAGCCTGAAACATCACCGTGTTGTGACTGGCGCCGCTCGTGCGTGAAACATAAAGTCGAGCTTCTCTTTCACGAGGGCAGGTGTTGACGCCTGCAGGCACCAAGTCTGAAAAGATTTTTTATCGGTTTGTTATCTGATGTTCGTACGTTCTGACTCGCCGTCCAGTGGGAACTCTCGTGCATCCAGGCCTCGGTGTTTTCCTGCCTCCTTGTTGTGTCTGAGTCCTGTCATTTTGAAGCAGTATATCTTGTTCTTTTGCAGGCAAGGCCGAGTCCGGCGGGCGCATGCACGTGACCCTGTGTGATTACATCATGCACTGGGACTCCTTGAGCGCCACCCAGAAGAAGAGCCTGAGCCAGCGCTACCAGATGGGCTGCGACTGCAAGGTGAGGCCGCACAGAGCCGACTGGCTGGTTTATCTCCCCGAGTGGAGAAAAAAAAGGAGCAGCTATTTGCTTCCTGCAGTACAAATCCAGACATAACAGAGCAAACAAGACGAGACATGAGCCACAACAACAAACATCCGAGCAGGGATTTTAATGAGCGGATAGAAAATGTAGTTTGCTGCTTTGGTTTTTGTAAAGATTGAACAATTTGACATATTAACTCCTGACACGCACAGACATGAAGTCGATCTCCTCAACTGACTCTCAAGAAGAGAAGCAATCAGCATATTTCTGACAAGGGTGAATCAGACTATTAAAGGTGTTGTCTAGAGCAAAATTGTTAAAGTTGTAATCCTTGTTTTCACTCATGGACTGTAGAAGTAAAGGCAGTTTAACCCGTTAACATCCACAACTCTTATTGGAGTCAAACAGCACAAACTGATTCATCAAATATGTTCCTCTGTTGAAGTCAGAAAAGATTTTTCTGGAGACACGTTCTTACCACAAAATGAGGAAGTCCTGTGGCGTTTCAACATGAGCTGTGAGGATTTGTGCTCTCAAGCTGGTTAGAAAATGGACCAATGCTGTTCAAAATGCAGTTTTCTTTCTGCCTGCATTCAGTAGTTAATACGAGAAATGTAAATTTTAATATGTTTCCTTGACACATAGTTGGCCACATAAATAACTGATTAATAATTGAAAGTAGTGGAACACAGTGCATGTTTTTCTATACGCTGATGAACCCGGTTTTAACCTCAGACGCTTAATGTTCGGGCTCGTGGAGAACCAATAAAGTAAACGCCAGCGAACTTCAATCATAAAATGAAATAATAATGACTTCATTTAAAATTGCTCTTCAACAACTCGTCCAACAAAATCCAAAGTATTAGACACAGCAAACGAGCTGCAGTGTTCTCCACACGTTAGTGATGTCTTCACGGTGGCTTGGTATCGAAATAATCCTTGAGCAACACGATGGAGCAACTTGTTTGTCGGAAACAGTTGCTCAGTTGAAACAGACAAATACTTAATCAGTTCAGTACGTCTGTCGCCTCTAAAATGTATTTATACTCAAAGCAGAGCATTGCCGATACACTTCATGATCTTAGTTTGAATGTTGTCGAAAGGGAGTCTCCATGTTCTCCTCGTGCAGCGTGGGTTCTCTCCGGGTTCTTCCTCCCACAGTCCAGAAACATGTTGAGGTTAATTGGTGATTCTAAATTGTCCGTAGGTGTGAATGTGAGTGTGCTTGGTTGTCTGTCTCTAAGTGTAGCCCTGTGATAGACTGGTTACCTGTCCAGGTGAACCTGCCTTCACCCTGAGTCAGCTGGAATAGACTCCAGCCCCCCATGACCCTAGTGAGGGTTAAGGTGTAGAGATAATGGATGGATGGATGGATGGATGGATGGATGGATGGATGGATGGATGGATGGATGGATGGGACATGCTGCATGGTTTTCCACTAACAATAGATTTCACACAGTGACCTGCAAGATGTACTTGAATGTGACTCTATTGCAGGGGTCTCCAGTCCTGGTGTTCGAGGGCCACAGTCCTGCATGTTTTGGATGTTTCCCTCTTCCCACACACCTGATTTAAGTGATCAGGATCGTTATCAGGCTTCTGCAGAGCTTGATGATGAGCTGATCATTTGAATTAGGTGTGCTGGAATAGGGAGACATCTGAAACATGCAGGACTGTGGCTCTCGAGGACCAGGATTGGACACCCCTGCTCTATTGTATGGTGGTATACCTCAAAACTCGCTAAAAAGGGCTAAATATTCACAGTGTTCCTAATTTTGCTAACTGATGAGGATGATAAAGGGTCACTCCCTGTATGTAGAGGGTTTAAATCATGAACCTCTTCAGGATTCTAACTTCAGGTGTTGTAATACCGCTCGTACTTTAAGCCGTGGTAGCATGTATAAAGTACAACCAGCCTGTTGTGTTTGCTCCCCCTTCAGATTGTGCGCTGCCCCTCTCTGCCCTGCGAGATCTCGGCTCCCGAGGAGTGCCTGTGGACGGACCTGATGATCGAGAAGCAGGTCCACGGTCGCCAGGCCAACCACTACGCCTGTGTGAAGCGGGCGGACGGCTCCTGCTCCTGGTACCGCGGCGTGGCACCGCCCAAGAAGGAGTTCCTGGACGCCGAGGACCCTTAGTCACGTGGCCACGCGCGACTGCCCACTGCACAGCCTGACGGAGATAAATGTAAACGATTCCATTAGAAAATTTAACGAAAAACAGCATCAGGCAAAGTGATTTTTTAAATAATTTTGGGGAAAAAAAATTGTGGCTGAAAAATCACCTGCTGGTCTGAGAACAACCTCCGGCTTCTCTCGTCGTCCGCGAGGCAGCTTTGGACCTCAAACTCCCTCCGTGACCCCAGAGAGGCTCAGAGGTTCTTCTCAGACTCGGCGTCTCTGTAAAAACATAAAGTAGCATCATGAGACATAGACTGGTCGAGTGATGAACTCCTCCTGAGGCTGGCGTCAGGAGGATGACGTGAGACGGAGCTCTCCCTGCCCCCCCACCGAGCTCCACTCTCCACCAATCAGCCCCCCGATCTCCAGACCATCATTCGTTACCCATCGTGTTCCTACTTTTATTACCTCATTCTCCTGTTTTATTCCAAAGCCAAATTCCAAGTTGCCTTTTTTTTTTAAACGATTGTGTCCCTCTTTTCTTTTATTCGTTAACACTCTCCTCGTTTTCTCTGCTGGGAAACTGTTTAGTGACGTCGGACGCCCGCCTTCTTTAACAAAGACCATCTTTTTATTGGGTGAACAAACTCGTTGTTTTTTTAAAATTAAATGACGCCTGTGACCGTGACAGGCCTCACTGGACCAGTCTATGCTGCGTGAAGGTGAGAAATTCAAAACAAGAAATCTTCACTGCCCCGATCAGAAATATCCCAAATTCCTCCTCTTTTCTTCTTCTTCAGATCCCCTCGTTATGTAGCTGTACAGTACCTATGCATATACTTTTGTTGTTACTTGATGATTATTATTTACTGCATTAGAACTAGATTTGCACTTTTTGAGGATGAGTAAAGACAAGAGCCTGAACACTCTGATGTGACAGTTGTTACCGTTCGCCCAGAACCGACAGATCCACCTCAGGTGCAGATTTCGAGTGCTTTTTTTTTTTTTCGGTGATCCATATTCACAAGCCTGCTCTGTCTTTGTCATAACGGATAAAACAGTACTCGCAGTGAAAGGTTGAATAAATAAAAATGTAAAAAAAACAAAAAAAACAAGTGGATGCGTGAGAGGTTTGGAAACAAGGGATTCTTTTTGCAGATTTTATGTGTGAAAGAGAAACTTTAAGAAAAAAGCAAACAAAAAAAAAGAGCTCGTGGGATGTTATTTCAGTGTCTTTGTATTATCTGTTGATTGTAAATGCAAACAGCAGCCGATATACTCTCGCAAGACGGTTCATTTCATGAGGTCTTTAACACGCTTAACGTTCGCTTCGACTCGTCTTTCCTGCTCCTCCCAGTTATTAATGAAAAGCCCTATCGCTGTCCTAGAAAGCAAGTTACTCAATCAAAGTTTACAGTGCTGTTTTATACACCTCAAGCTACATTAACATAAAAAAATATATATATGATGGAGTATTAGAGGCATAATTTAAAAGTAAACTCTTTCCAGTTTCCATTACTTTGTTTTTTTGGTTTTTTTTTTGGTTTTGTTTTTTTTTCCAGTGTTATTATTATCATGATTTTTTTTTTTGTGTGTTCTCGCTGTCTTTGTCTACGATGTCTGTAGCTGTAGTCGAGAAGGTCCTCTTGCGCTGGAGTAACGTGAGAGTGAGAGCGATGATGAATCCTTCGTGGAGAGGTGTAGAGAAACGGGAAACCTTGTGTGAATAGAGGACTGTGCATGTGTTTGATGCTTTGTGTAAGTCCGGGCGAAGGACAAAAATATTCAGTATTATCAAATAAAAAAAAACAAAAAAACACAAGTTTGAAAGAGTGTACGCCGCCTGTGTGTTCTCATTTCTCCTGATGGACTGTGAAGGAAATGTTTGGTTAAATGTTGTTTCCTGGTGCTCTGGAGTGTATTTGCAGATCATTTTTATTAGCTGTAGGGATGAAAATGTGTCTGTCTAGACTGGAAAACCTCATCAGCGAAGGCATGAAGTGCGATAAAACTTAGTACACACCATAGACTAAATAATCACAATAACAGCCTTTGGTTTTGGTGCTTTACGAGGCAACACAGTGAAGCAAACCAAAGATTCAAGGTTTTTTATTGGTCACAAGTTGGTGGATAAAAAAAACATTTTAAAGGAAATAAAAGACAATTTAAAGGAAATTAAACCCCAAGTTCAAATGGATGTTTTAAGAAGGGATTGGAAAGGTTCAGACTTTCAGGAAAATCTTAAAACCTGTCCTAAATCATAATGGAAGCCAGTGTAAAGACACTGACACAGGACTGATGTGATCACTTTTCTGACTTCAGAAGTCAATCAATAGATTTTTCATTTTTCAGGTGGAAACGCTGCAGCTGTAGTCCAGCTGTGATGAGATAAAGGCGTGCCAAATAGTCTTCTGTGTCTTAAAAAGTTGCGACTTATTTCAGAAATATTTCCAAGATGACAAAAGCTTCTTTGCACAAGCTTTGTGGTTTGCAGCTCAGAACATTTTATTATTAGACGATTGTCAAACAGGATGCTGCGACTCTGTGCAACAGGGTTGGTGTGAAGCAGGAGGAGACGGAAGAAGCTGTTTGGCTACAAGTTTATAACCCAATAACAAGGAAGTATATAAATACATATATACTTCCTTGTTGTTGGGTTTTATATATATATATATATATATGTAAGTTCTTTTACAGAACTCGGTCAAAGGATCTAAAAAGATATAAAAATCCTCATAGTTCAGGGGTTTTCTATCAGATTTTTGGGGATATTTTCTCTTTTTCTTCAGAGCTTGAACCTTGGTTAACTTCTACACGTGCACAGTTCAAGGCCCTGAACCTGCTGATATGATGTGATGCTTCAGTTTCAGGCTTTTATTAAAACGTGAACATCATTTCCACACATCAGCTGGACTATTATATACAGTCTACAGCACAGACCTTCCTGATCCCCAGAGAATGAGTCCTAAGGAGTTTAATCTTCTCCTGCGTCTCCCCTATTGATTCACTGGGAGGTTAAAATTTTAGGGAAACTGTCTCAGAAGCTGTTGGATGGACATTCACGTCCCCAACTTTGATGACCCTCTGACTTTCCATTGAGCTACACCGTGAGGTTAATATTTTGGAGGTTTGTTTTTTTTAATGTGAAGTTTTTATCAATTGCAATCAAATCTGATGCAAAAACCATGTAATACCAGATACTCAGGGCAGAATTTCTAACATTCCTAAAGACAGTGAGAATGCTAACGATACACCTGCTGCTAAACATTAGCGTGTTAGCATTATCACTGTGAGCCCTTTGGGATAAGTTCCAGTAAAGAGAAAAGCCTCATTGATGACAAATCCAGCTTTAGTCCATTTTGTGATGTGTTTGACCAGCTTAAGGTCCCATAAATAGTGTTTGACCACATAACGCTCTCCTAGCTGGTGTATAAAGTTGTATATGCAAATCAATATGTGTGATCACACGCACGTGATTGGCTCCCGCCCATGAGGCGTGGCTTAACGCCGCACAGATCCTGATTGGAGCGACACTCCAACCGTCCAACCGTCCAATCCTGTGGATGCAATCAGGTCAGAAGTCTATAAAATCCAACTCAAGTCACACAGGCAGCTGTGACTTAACAAGAAGAAGCTGTGATGCTGGGAGTCAACTTTGAAACAGGTAAAGGAAGAGAGTTTATGTTAAAAGAACAGGAGAGGAGAAAGGAGTCAACGCTGGTGGCCTTTATTCAGTACACAACACTCATCATTCATTTAAGACATCCTCATTAAATCCTATCACATTTAACGTTTTTAAATGTGTTTATTCAGTATTTCATGCTAGTTAGACAGTGTTAGCATGCTAACACACGAAGCTAAAGTACAAACAACATACCTGATAAACAGCATATTGTTACTGGGGGCTGCAAGGTGGCTCAGTGGTTAGCACTGTCGCCTCACGGCTAGAAGGTAAGGACACCTGGGATCTTTCTGTGTGGAGTCTCCATGTTCTCCCCGTGCAGCGTGGGTTCTCTCCGGGTTCTCCGGCTTCCTCCCACAGTCCAGAAACATGTTGAGGTTAATTGGTGATTCTAAATTGTCCGTAGGTGTGAATGTGAGTGTGCTTGGTTGTCTGTCTCTAAGTGTAGCCCTGTGATAGACTGGTTACCTGTCCAGGTGAACCTGCCTTCACCCTGAGTCAGCTGGGATAGGCTCCAGCCCCCCTAGTGAGGATTAAGGTGTAGAGATGATGGATGGATGTTGTTACTGTGAGCATGTTGGCTCGCTAATGTTAGCATTTAGCGCTGGTATCGAGCCTCTTGTAGACTCTTTATCAATCAATCAGACTTTATTTTTGAAGCTTTTTCATACAAATGAAATGTCACACAATCAGCTTTACATATGGAAGGAATAAAAAGACAATAAAACAGAACAAACAGACCCTCCCCACTGACGTTATGCTTCAGATGACAGCTTCAGTACAGGGACTGAGCAGCTGCTGAATAAACGTCATGAGCTCTTGGTCATATCTTGTCATGTTTTCTTGAATTCCTTTATTTGCTAACGCCAGGACATGTCACACAGCCTTCGGACAGATCCGGGCGAGGCAGTCATCTACGTAATCCTGAATAACAGACATAGTGTTGTGAAACTGTTAAAGAACTACGTGCAAGAAGCCCATTATAATAAATAGTCTTAATAATGAGCCGCCGTGTGACAGCTCATTCAATCATTGCATAGTTCAAGGATTACATTCCATATTTTGGCAGAGGTCATCCATTTCATAATGTTTTATTATTGTTCCTTGAGTTCTGTGAGTCACCGTAGAGAACAAACACTGGAAAACATAGTCGGGGAATAAAACTCCACCGTCCAGAAAATCAGGAGGAATGTCACTAATGTTTGTAATCTCGGTATGTCGAGCAGCCAGACTTGGCCTTCGTTTGTCTGCTGCTAATTTCCCACCGAGGTTGTCGGCGTGTGAAGGACAGACTTGAGATGTGAGAGCGGAGCAGCGAGGCCGGACTGGGAGAAGGGCGAGTAGATGTGGTAGTCGACTCAACTAGGAAAGTATTTGAGAAATGTGCAGGCAGAGCCCAGATCGGGCGGTTTTGTCATCGCTGTTCATTCTCTCCTCGGTGATTTCAAACAGGATGGTAATAACCATCCGGTGTCAGAGGGGATTTCACTTTTTACTCCGAGGTCAGGTCATCGTATCTGAGGGAGGCTGGAAGCTCAGGATATTAGAGCGAAGTGGGTCGACGCAGGGTGCCGATCGCTGTCCTCGGTCGCTTCTCTTGACTAGATATTTGCTTTTTGTGTTTGGAGCCTGTTGGGAAACTCTTGAGTACGTGAGCTGTTGCTGCAACCTCCGCTTTGCAATCGTGGTTGCTCAACACAGAGAAAACAGACAGAAGTAGTGCCGAAGCTCACGTCCAGACGAGGACACGTGAAATATTAGTCAAAGAAAAGTTTGATTTTTAACGTCAGGCTGCAGAATGTTTTTTTCTTAAAGCTCACATGTAAAAGTCCCGTTACATTTCTTGACATGTTTCTGATAAAACAAGAGGTCATAATGTCGAGCTACAATGATTAATCAATTAGTTGTCAGCTCGTGCATTAATCATCATCTGTTCTGATAACTTATTAATCGCTATGAGTCAATATTTAAGAAAACAAAAGTCCAAATTTGGTCGTTCCAGCTTCTAAAATAAGAAGTTTTTCTGGTTTCTTTGTTCCTTTATGACAGTAAACTGAATATCTTTGGAGTTTTAGACAAAACAAGACACTTGAGGACATAATTTGTGGATTTTGGAACATGCTGATCGACATTTTTCACCATTTTCTAGTCTTTTTTATAAACCAGTTAGAACTGAAACAGGTGTTAGCAGTAGTCTGATGCTGTATTACTGGTTGTTGACACCTCTTAATGAGCAGAACACGGGTCATTTCACCAACATGTCGATCAAGTAAAACGTGCCGTTTGTGTTTTGTCATATTTTACTAACTTGTGTGTCTGATGGTGGAGATGTTTTACGATTTCAAAATAATCCTGGTCACTGTTTTTATTACGATAGCGTGACTCTGGCTCACGCTGACAGAGTGCAGGGACGTCATGCATTATTAAATGCACCGATAAAAGGTCTCGTCAAGTTAAGCTGCAGTGCACCAGGCACCAGATGAACATATTTCATGCGTTTCCTGGTGTTCCAGACTCTCTCCTGTAGCATTGATGACACCCAGTGGCCACCAGCAGACACAGCAGCTTCTGGAAGAGGCTTCAACACAGGAAGGTGAGGACAAGGGTTCTGTTTAGTGCATCAGATTACCAGAAAATAACCTAGTTTTAGACTAAAATGCATGAAATAATGATTAGCTCATTCATAAGAATAGAATATTTGTCGTATAGCATTCAAGGATGTCAACAATCAAGTTATCAAGTGAATTTTTAGTTCAGTGCCTTGTGCAGCGATTAACGTTTTTACAAACTGAGGTAACAAATATGAGTATATAGGGATTGTGCAGAAAGTGGTTTGTACAGAGAGACAGTTAAAATAATAAAAAATAGCAGCGTGTTTAACATTTATGGTGCAGAAAATGTGAAATCTGCTCATATGTACTGAAAAAATCTAACAAAATGCAACAATAAAACACAAACTAACCGACACATAGCACAGAAACAGACATACAATAGCTAAAGATACGAAATGAATAAGAGAAATAAAAGACAATTTGCTTTGAGACAGCTCTCAGGTCACTGGACAAAGTGATTAAATAAGAAATAAATGAAAGAATCTGCAGTAGTTTTAGAGGCTGTGTGAGGCTGCGTTCAAGCACAGTGGCAGTTAAAA